TACACTGAAAAAAAAGGTACTTTACCGAACTTAAAAAGGTTTCGAATTTTGAAACGAATTCTGAACCTTGTTACGATGCTGTACCGGACCTTGAAGGTTTCGTAAAGTCATACGAAACCTTTTCAATTTCGGTAAAAACCTGAACATAGTTTCGTGTGAGTTTACGAAACCTTCAAAGTTCGGTAAAGTACCTTTGTTGTTTTCATTGTATACTAATGAAAAAAAAACTTTCGTCTTCCAGATGTAATATTTGTAAAATAACCGTCATATATGAGTCACCATGTTTTATAAAAATTAATCATCGTTTACTCACTAGCCGATGCAGACGGTGTTGGTGTGGGTATTCATTAAATCGAATTCCACAACCAAACCCACCCCAACACCCACGGCCACGTCTACGCCCACACTCACTGTTAGCATTCTAGTGTTCCCCTGCAATTCTAAACGGAGATTAAGCGATCTTTTCTAGTATACCGGTAGTAGGTCTGCCCAGATAGTAGATGATGTGTGGTTCGAATCCGAGGAAATGGTCAACTTTTTCTCCGATCTGTGATCATATCTTCTCGCTGTTAGCCCAGCACCCAACACTAGAGTCCTGCGGGAACAACTTTTATTGTTCCCGTTTCCCGTCCCCATTCCCGTAGAATAAAATTTTCGTTCCCGTTCCCGCGAAAATAATTTTGTTCCCGTTCCCGTGTTCCCGTTCCAGTAATGCATTTGTTACTTCTATGGTCATTTCATTGTGTTTGATTAAAATGCCTGTTTTTCGTACTCCATGCTGGATGACCGCGACATTTGCCGTTTCACAATGTCTCATAGGATATATTTAGAATAAATTTACGATTGGATATTCGTCTGATGAATCACAGAGCTAGTTTACTCACTTACAGCCAATTTACTTTCTTTCGTTGAGGTTTGTATATACCAAATTTTATACATGTCAATAACAAAGCCACCTAAATCAACTTTATCCAAAGTTGACATTCAAGCATTAGTAACATTAAATGATCCATCGATTTCGTTTGCAAAACCAGCAAATGTTAGAAGTGAAGTTTGGACAAACTATTCACAAATTTATTATAAAAATGAAGGTCTTGATTACATAATATGTTCACTATGTAGAGTGGTGTTAAAATGGATAAGTGAAAATGGTACTAGAGTTATGAGTCATCATAATTGTACAAAGCAAAAATCTACCTCAACTACCCCAGTACGATAACGAACAATTTCTTCGTTATGTCGACCATCATCTTTATCAAAAAAAGCTCCTGTAATTCAAAAGCGCATTACAGAACCATGTGCAATTTAATGACGAGTCAATAAACTTTTTTCTTTTGATACACATTTGTATTTTTTCTGTTAATTACATATCAAACGGCTAATCCAGATAAAAGAGTATTCTATAAATATGTATGTATTTCAACTCATATACGTAGATCTGATAAAAAAAACTTTCGGGAATGCCAATTAATAATGCTGTTCCCGTTTCCCGTGTTCCCGGGCAAAAGCCTTCACGGGAATTCCCGTTCCCGCTTCCCGCGGGAAACGGGACGGGAAAATACGGGAAAAGTCGTTCCCGCAGGACTCTACCCAACACCGACACCCACAACCTCAAGCACGGAAAATCAGAGAAGCGTGCCATCGTTCTCGGTACAATAAGTTTAGTTTTTGTATCGCTGCAAAACACTTCATCTTTGGATGCCTACATTTCGAGCCTTTGACAGCTTAATTCAAACTACAAACATTACATACTAAAAAACCAAGGGGGGAAAAGCGGATCCTGGTGGATTCTTTTAGATCCTGATGGACCCTGGTGGATTCTTTTAGATCCTGATGGATCCTGGTGGATTCTTTTAGATCCTGATGGATCCTGGTGGATTCTTTTAGATCCTGATGAATCCTGGTGGATTCTTTTAGATCCTGATGGATCCTAATAAAGGGTATTAGATTGCACAATAGATTGGCTGGAGTGTACGGAAATCTATTAAAAGCTACTTCAATCTACTAAATACGGCGGAGTCTACCACAATGCACCAAAAACTGATTCGCTTTACAGCAATCTTTAATTAATGTAAAAAAACATGGATCCTGCTGGATTATGGCTGTGCAGTTCACGGTTACGAGTGCTGATTAGCGAAAGCGTTTCTTCTCTAAATATAATATGCAAGAAACAAATAATCATGGATCCACTTTAGCTATATTCATATCAAAATACATTATAGTATTTCATACAGTTTCTTATCTAATATATTTAATCGATGTATCTAAATACTTGTTACTCGATGAATTGAAAATAAGCCCTAGAATAGTGTCATTAAAGTTTGGAAAAGCATAGTTTCCGAATATTTGTTTCTTAAACTCGCTCATCTTACTACCGCAAACAACCAAGGAACAAAGCTGGGATCTTATTATATATGTTTAATACGGGTAGCACGTTACTATTACGGGTAATGAGTAATAACTGTTATTTCGAATTAGTAGTACTAACTAAAAGCCAGGAAAATTAATAAAGTAATAAGGAAGAAATAAAGTAATAAAGAACTTGATCGTGGAATTACTTCTATTTATCGATATATTTCTACTTTCTCATCACTAGGAATACAACCGCTCTCAGGTCGTAATTCAGATCAAATGAATGAAGGAACTTCTGAAACAGTTCTATTTACTGATTTGTCCACAATCGCTAGATTACCTGCATTCAATCACTAGTATTATTTGGGCCGTAATTGAGGGTAACTCCTTCGATCCCTTAGGTCCTATCTGGATGTGATCCCTGTGACTTTTGCATCATACCTGGAGGAGGTCCCCGTAAATTTTTTGGATTTACACTGGAATGGTTCCTTCAGCCATTCGGGAGCTGCTTAAGAGTTGTCCTTATGAATTTTTTGGGACCGCTAAGGATAGTACGTCAAGTTTGAAGATATCACTGCTAGACAGAGTGACATGTTAAAAGGACGATGCTTTTATAGGATTGAAAAAGTTATAGAAACTGCCAATAGTTACGAATAGGGTTGTGCCGAGACCGAGACTTTCCATCTCCGTCTCAGTCGTCGCGATCGAGGTTTTGGTCTCGCTCTTGTTCGCAGTTAGCCTCGGTTCCAGTATTGATGAGTATTGGTCTCGGTTCATCCCTAGTTACGATTGAATAAGTTATAAGAAGCCCCGCCCACACTGCTCAGAAGAATACAAGAGATGCCACTATATGTGTACTAAAATGTTGCACAGGTCAGCCCTGGGAAGTTTTCACATAGTTCTAATTGACATCCTGGAGTTAGTCCAGAAAGGTACAGGACCACCCTTTGGTAGTTTCTTAGAAGTTCAAGGTATCATCTGTAAGTAGATCCCCAAATAGCTAAAGAGACCATCCATGGGTAGATCCTAAAACTTCTGACTACCCTCTCTGATTGAGCCCTTAGAATTTCTGAGTACCACCCTTCGCCAGGCTCAAAAAACTTCTAAGTATTACCCTTATATGATTCTTAAAACGTTCTGAGTATCACCTATCTATAGGTAGGCTCCTAATAGCTATAGGGTCCAGTTCTGGTCTGATCCTGGAAGCTTTTAATATGATCTCAGGGTAGGTCGCCAGTAGCTTTAAGAACTCCTCCTGGATAGATTCTAAAAAATTCTAAGTAATATATTTGGGTTAGTATTTATTACGGTAATAATTATTACACGTTATTAGTTATCAGTTGTTGCTTTTATTAGTTTCAATTTTTTAAACTTCAAATAATTAGGAATATATCACTCACGCTTATGAGTGTACGCTGTATACTCCTATGTTGCATCCTGCTTGATCTTTAAGTATCGAAAAATTCATCGGAACCTAGCAGAATTCATCGGAATTGACTAATATGTCAATCTTATCAGTTCATTCATGCTTCTTACTCGAAAATCCTACGACCGATTCCTCCTTTTTCCGAGCAGACTTTTTGGATCCTTTTGGATCCTGATGGATCTTGGTGGATCCTGGTGGATCCGCTGTTTCCCCCTTGTCCTCACCCTCACCCTCACACCCTGACAACACTTTTTGGCTGTTGCTAAAATGATGCCACCATTTAAATCGCGACATATTTTTGTGGGAGCATGACCACTTTGGTACTTAGAAAGTCTATGTTTTGCAGATCTTTACTCTTCATTTTCTGAACACTTATGAATAGTATCAATACAAATTTGAAATTGATAAATCTGTAAAACTTGAGATGAGGTATTTATTTAAAAAAAAAGGCCAATCGGATGAGATTTAAAAAAGATATTGCTAAAATACACAGAGGCTCATTACACCTGTCGCACCCGTTATTCTGATAATGTTAATGGTCGAGCATATATTCAATTGATTACAGAAGCTCTGTCTAGGTTTATTGACAATACATTTGATTCATCAAACAAACAATGGCTATTCATGCAAGACAACGCACCACCTCATCGATCAGCTTATTCAGCCACATGGTTGAAAACTCACAAAATTCTTTTTCTAAAATGGCTTGCTACGTCTCCTGATCTCAATCTAATGTAGCATTTGTGGGATTACATCGATTAAGAGTTACAAAAAATGAAGGCGAAGAACGTTATAGAATTACAACAAATGATTCAAAATATTTGGCATGGCATAAGTCCTATGCGTTGTCAGAAATTAGTCAATTGTATGCCACGTCGTATTAAACAATGTCGTAAATCCAAAGGTGGAACTTTCAGAAAATATTGACAAAAATATCCAAGAAAGAGTCAGAATGTACACCTAGTGGTCTTATAATTTTGGCCAGCAAAATATAGATGTTATTTCTTGAACTTTTTTTGTTATAAGAACTATATGAACTAATAAAATTTTCCCGTCATATTCTGAAAGAGCATATTTGATTCTACATAGTTCCATGATTTTAGGAAAAAAATATACTATTTGAGGAAAAACAAAATTTGAAAGAATAGATCGAGATAAGGTGGTCTTATAATTTCGGTCAGCACTGTAGAAATTTAACTCAATAAAACTTTTGTTTTCTACACTAGTGGCAATGTCCAAACCCATGTGGTAAATGTTCATAAGTTAATCGTTTTATCAGTGTAACATTACTATGGAACCGATCTAAAAAGAGTTTTAGAAATGATTCAGCATGTATATTTTTTATATAACAAGCACTAAAGTTGTGCCATCGACTCATATATTTTCCCATCATAGACATGGAACCAATAGCAAATCGGTCATTGTAGCCACCAAAATTATGTTGATCTGGAATAGCTATAGTTAAGTTGTTTAAAGGTTCTAATGTTTGATTAACTAAAGCAAGAACTGAATGAGGTCGAGCTCGTATTAAAAATTCAAATCGAATATTCAGTTTCTTTTCATATTCCTTCACTAGAGCAAAACATTCGGAAAGTGCCCACACTTGTTGATAGTACGGCATAACGTTTGATGTGGGTATCTCTGGATTGTAGAATGTAGTACAATTTGATGGTATTTGTGGATCAATAACTCGATCTTCATAAATGACAGTCACTGTAGATTTTAAATAGGAACGTACATTTTTCGAATGAACATTGAATCGAATCGTTTCTAGTTTGTGAGATGACGAAAGAAAAAAAAAGTATCAATATCGCCTTGTAGTTAATACGAATCATATTAAACGTTGGAACCAGAGCTAGGACGAAAGTATTTTTACTTGTACTTGTACTTTCAAAAAAAACTTGGTACTTGCACTTTTACTTGAAAAGTACAAATAGTACAAGTGTAAATACTTGTACTTAGGGAAAAGTACTTCGTACTCATATGTTCCATTCATTAAGACTCACCCAGTATAACTATCAAGTACTTTTTCCACAGCATAAGTATAAGCACCAAGTATTTTTTTTTCTAAGTACAAGTAAAAGTAGAAGTACATTTTTTTTAGTACAAGTAAAAGTAAAAGTAAATATTTTCAAGTACAAGTAAAATACTTTTACTTGCTGTACTTGTACTCGTCCTAGCTCTGATACACAGACAAAGTCATTCGTAGCAACAAAATAATATTCTTCGTTTCAACAGTAACGTCTATATTACAAAAAGGCTATAATTTTTTCAGAACTATTGCAACACATGCTCAGTCATAGAATAATACGATAAATAAGTCCTTCGGTTCTTCTCTTTTTGTGTACAATAAAATCTGTAATTTTTTTTTCTAAGCATTTAGGTACAAGAAACGATATATAGACCATTTAGATCTATGAAAAGATGAATGGTCTCTTTCGTAATTTTTTCAAAACACGATGCAAATCATAGATTCTACGTATATGACTCTCACTGTTCTTCTTAGAAACTACAAATTGTTTAAAATATTGTGATAAATTCATTAAGAGAAATGGATCCTAGCTGATTCTATGGATCCTGGTGGAATCTGCGGCTCCTGGTGGATTCTAGAATCCATCAAGAGCTGCCAGGAGCATAGCGTGGCAAATCTCAAACTGTTACCAGTTCGAAAGATTGCATGTCAAAATTTTCAAAGTTTCAAGTTCTCGTTGAGTATTTATTAGTGTTAAAAACTGTTGAAACTGTTGGATCTTATAAGAAAAATCACGTAGTTTTTCTCAAACTGACTCAGACGAGTATATATTAAACATACTGTCTGATACATCATCGAATGAACTGGATAACCAGATATCAGATATTAACTTTAGTATGAAAGTTTTGGTTGCTAATATATACTGTATTAAACAACTATAGCTATGCACCTATATGTAGAAAGTTGGAGCAGATAATCAGATATCAGATATTTACTTTTTTTATGAAAGTTCCAAATGTTAATGTATAGCTAATAACGTGAACTGAAGTTTTCTACATATATATATATATATGAGTGAATTGCACTCGTAATGAACAGTTGCTTTCCGAACACAAAAACGCTTATATCTCGAATTCTACTCAACTAATTTTGATAATTTTTTTTCAAATACTTCTTATAGTCTATCCTACTTACTGTAAAACTATCAAGCTTTTTGGCTGTGCTAGCTATGGATTTTCAAGCAAGAATGGTTAAAATGCGTGCTGTTTCGCGGCACCTGTCAAGAAAAACTAGTTTCGTGTCCTACAGTTTTGATTGGATCAAAATAATTTTTTACGACCATTTGGTAGATAAGACTTTCCTCTTTCTGACCATATAAATTGATCATGGATTTGGTTTTGATTTATCGCTCAATTCTTGCGAAAACTACCTAAACATACACTTTGACCATTTTATGTTCCGATAGACTAATTTCAATGTACTAAAGCCAATTAAAAGCAAACGCGAACTTTTATTTTGTGTTTGGTAGACCAAAGTGCGAGAAATATTTTGATAAAAAAGTTTTCCTAAGAACCTTCTTAATCAAATAAAAAACTAAAATGAGAGAGCAGGGATGGTATTGTTCTGCAAAATGTCCCTACAGATTTTGAATTTTGTTTCTGCGATTTCTCGGAAACTGTAAGGGATTAGGGCATTGCTTTTTTTAGCTGATTATGTGCTAGATCTGTAGTAAAATTTCAGCTTTTAACCATGTAACGTTCGTGAGAAAACAGTATTTTACTCACAAAATATCCCGACAGATTTTTTTTGTATCGAAATGTCGCAACAGATTAAAATGATAGATATTTCGAGAAAACATAATTTTATTTCACCTTATTTCACTTCAATCGACTCCTCTCCGACTCAGAAATGTTTTTCATATGTTCAGTGAAAATTCTGAATACTTTAAATGCCTCACAGTTCTGATCAAGGGGGGAAAAGCTGATTGTAATCAAAGCAATCATTGCCAATTATTGCCAATCAAATGTTTTCTGAAACAAATCTTTTAAAACAACGGCAGTTTTGTATCATCGATGTCCTTATTTTGTGGTGTCGATGCTACTGGAGGGCAGTTATGGTTACCGGACAGTTACATTACGGGTAATGAATAAGAGAAAAGGAGGTATGTCAAATTATTAACTTGACGTCTTAAAAAATCTGACACTAATTTTATTAGCTTGAGAATCAGTATTGAACCCTGATTACTTTCTACATGTTTATTTGGTATTTTACCGTACCTCATTTTTTCTGAACCCTGGGGTCCCCCTCAGGGATCGAAAATTTTCTTTTTCAAATCGTTCTGTTAGAAGTCACTTTAGTTTGGCAGAGCGGAGTATGCAGATTACAAATATCCCATTGTTTTTCAAAAGTACTTGTATAATAACAAAAATCCGAAGCACTTTCTGAAAGCCAAAAAACTCAAATTTTCACCTTAATATCTATCAAAATCTAATTCAAATTCGTCGCAAATAGACTCATTCGATGCAGAATATTTTCTTCTATTGAAATCTATACAAACTTTGTCAATGTTTCGGACTTATTTTATCGATAGCTACGAAAACCCGCCTTCATTCGGTCATTTAGGTGGCGGTATTTGACATCTATCGATAGAGCAAGACCTAAGTATTGGCAAAGTTCGTATTGATTTCAATAGAAGAAAAACTGCTGCATCGAATGAGCCTATTTCTGATGGGTCTAAATTAGATTTTGATAGAAATTTAGGTGGAAAACTGAGTTTTTTGACTTTTAGAAAGTGTTGCTATTATTCAAGTAGTTTTGAAAAAATTTGATATTTGCAATCAACATACTCCGCTCTACCAAAGTATAGTGACTTCTAACAGAACGTTTGGAGGAAAAAATTTCGATCCCCGAGGGGCATTTCAGGTATGAGAAAATTGAGTTATGGTAAATTATAAAAGAACTTGTAAAAAATAATCATGGTTCAATGGTGATTCTCAGGTTACCAAAATTAGAGTCAGATTTTTTTAAGACGCCAACTTAGTAATTTAACACAAGCCGCTATCGCTGAATGGTTAAGATGTTCGACACATATCCACAAGACCGTGTGTTCGAACATCGGCGCCATCAGACACAGAATAACCTTGAACAAGTTAATAACGGCTGCTTGTCTCGGACCACCCATCCGATAGCACGCTAACTACGTGTGACATACACAAAAGCCATTGTGGCTAGTATGTGGTTAGTCATTGTGCATGGGAAGCTTGAGGGATTAAGCGAGAGGAACTTTGAGTCAGGTCAGCCTACTGTCCAGATCTGCATCTAGTAATAGTTATAGGAAAAACATCGGACTTTCGAAACTGTCCTTGGACAGCAACCTATTCTGAAATATAGCCTAAAGGCAAGAGTATTCTTCTTCTTCTAATTTGACACACATCCTTTTCACTAACCCGTTACTTTGTAGCGTAACAGTAACTTCCTCCCCTATCAAAAATCTAATTGTCATTCTGTTTAATGATGAAAACGAAAACATATTATCATAAACAACTTGAATTCATTATCTGATAGTGAAAAACCGAAAGCAATCATTGGCAATCATCAGCAATCTTTGGCAACAATTGAAAATCTTTAGGCAATCGTTGGCAAGAAAACCAATCTGGGCGATCAACATTTCAGCTTTTCCACTTTGGTTCTGATATTTAGGTGGCATGAGGTACACGTATGAATAGTTGTTTTATACAGTATATATTAACAACCAAAACTTGCATACTAAAGTAAATATCTAATATCTAATTATCTGCTCAACATTCTACATATAGGTATATAGCTATAGTTGTTTTATACAGTATATATTAACAACCAAAACTTGCATACTAAAGTAAACATCGTATGTCTCTGGTTCTACTATGTCTGGGTATTGATCAAAGTAAATAACTGATTTTTACAGTAGCATGAAATATTGAGAGAACATCATTTAACAAAAACTGGTTACAATTTGAAATTTGCTGCGCCCTCGCCAGGAGCCGCTTTTCCCCCTTGGATCAACCACTGTCGTCGATTTTAATTTACTTTCAGAGAATATTGCCTTTCAAAATACCTTGATGCAAAAATACAGAAGTTTTCTTCATTGTAGGTTTAATCAGGTAAGTATCGATGAACAGAATATTTTAAGACTCTTTTGAAGTTTATCTAGTTGTGTTGTTTATCTAAAACCAATATTTCAGATTTAAAATTGTGAATATTTATACTTCATGACCGTTCTTATCGTGGAAAGAGAACGTCTTATGGCAAGCAAAACCTGAAATGGCTCTCTCATTCATTCACGGCATCGTTGTTGGAATAGTACTTACATTTATCACACTATTAGCTCTGTACAATAGATGCTACTATTTATCATTATCGACATTTTATTCAAATAATAATATATTCCATCGAACCTCAGATAAACGCCACAGTCGCAATATCTCATATGAAGGCTATCAATTTTTCGTTTTTTCTGATGAATCTCCTATGGTTCGTGCATATCTTGATGTTGTTAGGGATACTGTGTGTGGCTTAGCTCTTCGCACACAAGAACGTGCCTATGTTGATAATCACATGCGCCCAATGGATATCAATCAACGAATAAAAGGTTTAGACTGGCCTTTTACCGG